GGGCTGCTCACTCGAGATCGTCGTCAATCGTTGGTCAACTTGTGTGGAAATGAAGCACTGTGTTACCAGCCATGCCGTGGCATGAACGCGTGGGCCTATGTTGATTGATCATGGTTATTGCAGAGGGTTTAGGCCCCCATGAGACCGGATTTAGTATCAGAGCACCATGCGTGAGGACATGGCTAGTAGCGTGACACTCTATGCTGGCTTCAGGTCTTCGCCAGAAAGCTTCTTGCCGCATTGCCGTAACTAAGTGAGCAATGAGCTCTCCAAGGGTCATTTATGGGAAACCTGTATAATGAATAAAGAATAAAGTTAGCATTATCAGCAACTTGAGTTTTCGCGTTAGCCCTCCTTATGACGGGTTTAGTGATTGCCTTACCATGAACGGCGGTATGCAGCGAGTAGCTTGTGGGTCTGTGGAAGGTGGGAGGACTCACGTTGGCGTTTAAACCATGGATGATATTAAAGCGAACAAAAAGTTGACGTGGTTTGTCTCAATATTCAGTCAACCTCAGTGCTAAGAAAGGGACTGTTTAGGTTGTGATGATCAACCTCGTCAAAAACTTTTGGCCCGAGCACGGCTGGTAGATGCCTAACTGGAGTGTTTGGCATTCAGGAAGAAGAGGAAAACTCCAGTGATCAAACTTGAGTAATTTCTGTTTGATTGATAACGAAGGAGCAAAGGTCCGGACAACAGATAAGGCTCTTATGCCCTTCCGTTTCCTTCTTTCCCTTTTATTTTGGCTGATTAATCTCATTGGCAAAGGTTGATTGACTATTTTGCTGACTGGCCCTAACCATCTTGGAAGGTATACGAAGGCTATTAGGCTGTTCTGAAAGTTCAGGTCGTCTGATTAGTAAAGATTGCTGAGTATCTCCCTTTTTATTTCTGGGAAATCTTTCACTTCGCAAAAGCGGTTGTCTGGAGATGAGCTTCAAACATGCTTATTGAAGATTCTGTACTTGCCTGATGGGTCAGAGGAAGGCTAGTCTAAGATTGATTGCCTATATTTTGGCAAAATATCTGCTTGACGGGGACTAATCCCCGCGTTTACTCATACTGGGTCTGCCTAACTGGAAAGTCTCATCGGGGAAGTTTGCTAGTAACGTCCAAATGCAGAGTGAAATTACTTTTCTTACTGTAAACGGGGAAATTTTTGCGGAGTCTCTACCCTTAAAATGCAATGATGGGACATGTGTGTAGTCTAAAGGAGTGCATGGTTTCTGCCACGTTCGATGTAACGTGTAAAGTTTGGA